TGACCCTCAGCAAACAACAACAGAACTACCACATTCAAGGCCCAGAAAGGTAGTAAGGACATTGTTAAAATAGTCCATCAGTGGTTCGACCTTAATTTTATGAAGCTACGAGAATACATTTTTGGGTGAACTAACCCCAGCAAATCATGATGGACCACCATACTTTAATTTCAAAGTCTTCTTTTCACTCTTGTTTGACCTATCCACTGAGGAACTTTCACATGCTCTCGTGGACTTCACACACACGGCAATGTTCCTTCTTCCACTGTTCTTGTTTATCGTTTTATGCATCATAATCAACTTGACAGAAATGTTAGCATGTTCCAGATATTTCTGTAAGTCTTTAGCTGACACTCTAAGATTCTTCTTGCTAGACACCCACTCAGGAAGAGAAGCCGAGCTCGTCTTGCCATCAACTGATAAACATCAAGGCTTTCAGAGATGCTTTTCGAACCTTTTCTAGCTTTATGCAAGTCAACAATCCTTAATCTTTGGCGTTCAGAGACCTCTTTTGTTTGGGATGCAGTTCACATGAGGCAGTGCTTCTTTTGAATAGAAAACTCCCAAATTGAGCATTTATTTTTTTATATAGTACAGGGCAGCTTTGACTAACATCTTCAATCTCACCTAACTGATTGAACACAGCTGAAGCCAACTTTTGGAGAAATCAGTAGCCTAGGGATTCACATGCTTTTTCCACCTTGCGCTGTGAGTGTTTACATGGTGTGTTCAGTACAGAGTCATTGTTTGTGCCTTTTGTCTGTTGTGATAATTTTAGCACCAGAAATCCGGTCAAATCTGAAGATTTGACATGTCTTCCTGCAGTTATTTGTGACTGAAGCATCTGTGAACTCTTAAACAGTTTACGTATCTACATCCAGTGTTTTTCTCCTTCTCTCAATCTCCGCAGGTGTCCAGTTTATCTTTCACACCTTTCACTTGGAGAGTCCACATGACCACCTTTTAGTCACAGAAAATGGTAGTTTCTCTCAGCCCCTGTGGAGATTGACCGGGTCTACACTGCCACCCCTTCTCAGCGCTGGACTTTTTGGCAACTACACCGCTCAGATCCGTTTCCTCTCAGACTTCTCTGTGTCCTATGAGGGCTTTAACATCACTTTCTCAGGTAGAGACCTTTGTACAGTAGCTTAAACTACATGACATTTATAACAGAAGAAGCTACAAAATATCAATCCTTCTTCTGTTCCCTTCAGAATACGATCTGGAGCCTTGCGAAGATCCCGGCGTCCCCCCCTTCAGCACTCGTAAGGGGCTGCAATTCGGGGTGGGGGATGCGCTTATCTTTTCCTGTTTTCCGGGGTACCGTCTCAAGGGGCCTGCGAGGGTGGTGTGTCTAGGGGGGCGTCGACGGGTTTGGAGTTCCCCTCTGCCAAGGTGTGTTGGTAGGTGGTCACATGCTTTTCATTTTGCTTTGTTTGCAAATTTTACCACATATTTCCCCTCATGTGCTCAGACATGCATGCACATATGCTGATGTTAAAGGCTAAAGCAGCCCCCATTTCAGAGTTCTGCTCGATATGAGACAGGAAGAAAAAGGTTATGACTCACCATCTAGAAGAAAAAAAATTAAGAGCACCAGCTCCAAATTCTATCTAATGCTTAAGCAGCATTAATATGATGGTAGATATCAGCATATAAGTATCTTGGAGACCAGACTTCTTCATTCTAATTTGTGCTGCAATGGCTTAGATGCTAAATTTAGAATGTAATTTTTTTTTACATTATGATTTTGACATTCCGGTTGAAGCAAGTAATTAGGTATTATGTATTTTCTGCAGCAATATCTGGCTTATCCTTGCTTCATATTTGTTTACCAGTTTTGTGGAACTAGGTCAGCTCATTTGTAAACATATGTTTGTTTATTTGTAATGTGCTTGTATTTAAACTTATTTAAATAAATAACGTTTGATTTACTTCACTTAAGGTCTGTTGGGTATGTCAGTTATTATTATTTATTTATTTATTTTTCAAAAAACATCATCCAGAAAACCCCCAATATTTTTCTCAATAATGTTATTTGAGAAATATTACGTTGTTTCTAGGGATGCATGACATATAAGTTATTGGCTGATATTAGAGATTTTTATTTATTTATCAGAATATTTATACCTCTTTTTTAGATTACCTTTGCACTCACTTAAAATTAATTTGAAATACAACAGGTTAATAAATCTTAATTGTAATATTTAGAAATTCTCAAAATTGCGATGCAATGTCTAAATTCACGTGTAGCATTTAAAACAATTAATGCATTGGTTATAATCCGTAATATCATAATAATGATTAACTTATAGGTATCGTCCAGAATTGCAATAGTGTTGCATCGGTTGTATTAAATAGTCGGTTGTATTAAATTATTAGCGTCTGAACAGACCTGTGATCCAGGCAGTGTTGTCATTGTCAAAAAGTTCAGTTTTGCTTCAGCTTTTAATTTGTGTAGTTCAGTAACCTAGCATAAATTGACTTGCACTCATTCACAAACATACACCACCCCCTGACTGCCAGCATCAGTGTATAAAGTGTGCTTGTGTTTATGCTGAGATCATGGATCATTTGTCAGAGGTCATTTGACTTCTTACCTCCCTTGCTGCAGCTGAATGCGGATCGTCTGTAACTGGGAAACAAGGAGTTTTACTCTCTCCCAACTACCCTGGTTACTACGGTAACAACCATGAGTGCATCTACTCCATCCAAACCCAACCCGGTAAAGGGATCCAGCTCCGAGCGCGGGATTTCCGCCTGGAGGAAGACGACATGCTTAAGGTCTTTGTGACATAGTGTGTATTTGTTCCTGTGTGTAATGTTGGTTTGTAAATTATTTGATGACTGTATGTGACTGTTTTGTGTGTGTTTCAGGTGTATGATGGTAGCAGTAACAGTGCCAGACTGCTGGGCACCTTCACAGGCACAGAGATGATGGATGTCACTCTAAACAGCACATCCAGCACCATGTGGCTGGAGTTCATTAGTAACAGTGACAATACCAGCAAAGGTTTTGAGCTGCACTTCACCAGTGAGTAGCACACTGACTCCTTGCAGCCATTTCACAGCAGTACATGCATTTGTGTGTAGATAGATAGATAGATAGATAGATAGATAGACAGGTTTTGAAGGACACACTCTTTTTCCTGTCTTTTTTGCAGGTTTTGAGTTGGTGAAGTGTGAGGACCCAGGTGTGCCTCAGTTTGGTTTTAAACGGGAGGACAAAGGTCACTTCGCAGGCAGCACAGTGTCATATAGCTGTGATCCTGGCTACACTTTAAAGGGCCCGGAGGTTTTGACATGTCTCAGAGGGGAGAGGAGAGCATGGGACAGCCCGCTCCCACTGTGTGTCGGTAAGACGTTACTGAATACTCATTCACACTGCCTTATTTAAAAGAGCCTATACCTGTAGGGACAACATTTCTAATACGATAACTTTTAAAAATTTGATATTCAATACCGTTTTCGATACCATGGGGAAAAATTGACACAACACTAAGGACTTTTTTTTTTAATTAAAAGATAAATATAGTAAGGCTAGAACTTGATATATTTTTTTTTTACCAAAATAGGGTGGTGTGAGCATTATGGAATGCTGGAATATTGGAAGCCAGATGATGCCCTCACACAAATAATATAACTTATGACGTTCCAGGAAATCCTAATTACCTTATTTTATCACAAAGTTTAATTCTGCCACATGGTCTTGTATGATATACTCTGAGAATTTGCTTCATGAATATAATCCCCCAAAGCAGAGAGGGGTCGATTAATTCAAGCACTCCTCTTTGTTTCTCTTCTTCATGTCTACATCTTCTTCCACCCACTCTTATACACAGCCTGGGTTCTCCTCAATATGAGTTTACCACAGACCCACTTTTCAAAGTGTTTGAATTATGATGTTTCCCCACCTGAGCCTATGGAGACCTTTAGGCAATATTGAAATGCCCATATTGAGAGGAGAAATGTAACTGTAAAGGCATGAGCAAATATTTTTCATCCGCCACAACAGGAAACTAACTAGTACTGTAGAAAACAGAGGGTGGACAGTGAGAAATGAGAAGTTGGTGAGAGTAAGAGAAAGGAGGGAGGGGAGGACAGAGCAAAAGAGAATGAGAGAGCAAGAAATGTAGTTTTATGACTTACGAAGCAGGTCATCTCAGGAGTTGAAGAAGATGGGTTTGTTTCATCGTGATTTATGGCTCTGCTGTTCACTATGGGAACATTCGTCAGAACCAAATTCATATAAGATGAAAAAACTGCACAAAAAAAGAGTAAGAAAGACAGATGAAAATAAAGTAAAATAAAATAAATAAATATCTTGCGATATATAAATCTCAACATTTGAGATTAACACAAGAAAAAAAAAACACTGTTAGCTAGTGGGCTAAGAAAGTAAACTTAACAATACAAAAGTAGTGATTAAGAAAATAATTCAATGCAATAAGATTCTCACACCACTTTATTTATGTATTTATTTATTTTCCCTTTTCTCTTACTTTCTTTCTCTTTTGCATTCAACAATTCATTTTTTTTCTATGTGCACTACCAGCAGAAAAGATCAAAAGTGTCTCCGTGTCTATGATTATACCTTTCAGCATGTATAAAAATGGCTTGCGAGGCTGAAGTGTGCATTTGAACACATTGACTTGCGTGCTGTGACATGAATATCTCACATGACTACAAACACCAGCCACCATGTAATTTGTGTCATTGCTTGTCCGAGACTCAAGGAGAGATGTGTGTAGGGAAAGTGTCTGGAACAAATGTGTGAAATGTCCCTCCACTGGCTTGATTGATGTAAAATTGTACTTTGCTATACTTCAGTGCTGTTTTTGGGAAGTAGTCACTGTTTTACAGATTACTGTTGATCAATACTTGTATTCTTAACATTTTGTACGGAGGGGAAAAAGACTCTTGCTCGTTCTCGTTCGTTTCGTACTATTGCTTTTTTTTTTTCAAAGTTTCAAAGCTTCATAATGTCCAATTTGTCCTTTTGAAATGGCATTGTCTACAATTAACTATATACAAATAAAGTAAAATGACAGTCTAAATAAAATTAAATATAAAATACAATAAAAATATTAAATGCATATGATATCAGATAATTATGAATAAAAAAATTAAAAAACAGGTTCTGGGATATTACAATTTCAAAATATTTTGTGTGGTAGAGCCAAATGTTTAAAACAGATTACTCCTCTGTTTTAATAAAAAGTTTAAGATTTGTGAGTAAACCGGCTTGTTTTGCATTTTAAAAAACGGACTAAATCGGTTGCTTTACAAAATGTATGCACTTTTGTTTAATTGCCCTGTGTTTTTTCTTTTTTAGGCTATCTCTCTGGATACCTATCAAAACTCGAAAACATTATTAGTTGTATATGTACTGTATAAAGTATATTGTAGATATACTGTATACACACAGTCTATCGGGCAGCTCCTAATATATAATCCAATTATGCTTGAATGCATCAGGTTTGAATTAGATTTTGAAATCACATTTTCAATGTGGACTACAAATATGAATGAATGCCAATAACTAAAACATTTCAGGTCTTGGAATTTCCTCTGTATTCTGTATACAAACTGATCCAGTTCCAGGGTGTATATGTGTATGTATGATTTTATGCTGTGTAAGGGCACACGCGTTTGATCTCTGGGATGATGATGACGATGGCATGGGTTGGATATAACACTCTCATGACTTCCTGATCCGTGAAACTGGAACTGTCACACGCACTGGCCCCATCCTCCTGACAAACAAGTGATTTGTACCCCTGCTGCCCACCACCACCAGCACCACCATTGCCCCAGTGTAAGATGGATAGTCATGTCTGGGGCAGGACATATTACCAACACTATCAGTGATATTAGCCGAAGGAAATATGCCCTCCCCAGGGAAGGCTTAATCCTGGAGGTGATATACGGCCATGTTATTCTGCTCATCACTCATAAAGCTCTGCTCAGTGCTGAATGTATTCTTTTAAAGTGGAAAGTTATACGCGTCCCTGCCACCTGATGCATCACTGCACAGCACACCATGTACTATCCTTGCTTCAGAGATTTAGATACGAATCCAGAATCCCTTACAGAAGCGGACATGTCACTTAAAGACACTTTATATATATTTATATATTGATATTTATATTGATTTAAGTTTTCAACTGTGAGAATATTTATACCCAAGACCTGAAATGTTTGTCCACATTGAAAATTATAATATTATATAATATTATATTATATTATATTATATTATTTTATATTATATT